CAAATGAATGAAACTATATAATACTTAAGCTTGTGTGTCTGATTGATTTCACTTAACTTCATGTCGTCAGATGCCTCTATTCTCTTGTAATTCAAATATATTCTTCTTTATTAACAACTAGTATCCATTATATACAAGTAACACTTTTTCTTTGTCCAGTCATTTGTTTGTAGATTTATAGGCTCCATGCAGGATTTAGGTATCAGGAAATTTGTTATTGTAGCCACCTAAACATTATTTGCTTTCATTAGTTTTGGACAATTTCACATCTGTGTATCTTTTTTTTTCCATAATTTTATTGAGAAACAAATAGCAATGAGACAGTTTCAAATCAAATTGGTAGGACAGCTTCAATAATTAACACGTTGCATGCATTCCTCCCAGTGGTTGATTGATATTTCTGTGTATCTTGATATGACTTTATTCAAATTTTTCATGCAAAAGGTTCATGTTTCTTGGAAATGTGGTGCTATAATTTCAAATAAATTCTGAAATTTTAAATCGTTTAATATTTATTACTACCCCTTTCTACTTTGAGAATTCTAATTGTGTAAATATAAGTTTTTTATTTTGGTACAAAGTGAACTATTATATGACTGATCATTAAATTCTTTCTGCTGCTTTTTTTTTTAATTTAGGGAAGGGTCTGCAGGGTGTTCCGGGTCTCTTTGCTAGATCAGACATGTAGTGATCCACTTGTTTACAGCCTCCCAAATGCTGGGATTAAGATGCACACACCACCATGCCAAGTCTCAGTTGCCATCTCAGTGCACCCTGGGGGCAGGGCCAGCATACTCTGCCCTGGGATCCTACCCCACGGCACCCACACCTGCTTGAGGGTGCTTTAATCCACTGATCTATTTGGCCAGCCATTCTTCTCCATTTTCATTGTGGACAATTTCTATTGTTATATTCATTTAAGTTTGCAAATAATTTATTTATAATGTGCAATCTATTATTAATCTCATGCTATGTATTCATTTCAGAAATATTTCTCTAAAATTCATTCTGTCTATATTTTCTATCTTTCACATTTCAGTATTTGGGTACAATTTTTACTATGCTATGTAATTATTGATTTTCAATAAAGGTAATGAAAAAAATAAATGGAAAGAGATGATGAGAAGAAAGATTTGTACTAATATTGTTTAAACAAGAAATCATGTCTGCATCTTTTACTCTGAATAACTACTATGAAGACAATGCCCTATGTATTAATTATAGTAACTGTTCTACTAACCTGTTTTGAAACAAGTTATTTCTTTATTAAAATTAATTAGAAATTTAAAAAAACTCTACAAATTCTGCTATTCCATGGGCATGAAAGGCTCTTCCATCTTCTGATGTCTTCTTATACTTAGTCTTCAATATTCATAATTTCCCTGTAGAATTAATTAATCTATGAGGTTAAGTTTATTCCTAGGGGCTTATTTATTTGAAGCTATTCTAAGTGTAATTATTTTCCTCATTTTTTTCACAGAGTTCTTTTTATCAGTGCACAGAAGTACTATGGAGCTTTGTATGCTACTTTTCTACCTCAGTATTTTGGTGAGTTTTTAATCACTCCCAAGAGTTTTCTGATGGAGGATTTAGAATTTCCTATCTATAAAGCCATATCTTCTACAAATAGTAATATTTTTATTTCTTGCCTTTGTATTAGCATCCATTTTATTTCCTTGTCATTTCATGTTTTTTTTTCTTTGTTTACTTATTTATTTTGGTATGGGGAATCAAACTAAGAGTCCTGTTCTTTCCAGGCAGTCACTGTGCCACTGAGCTATATCCCTGGCCTTTTCTTTGTCTTTATCTAGTTGCTCTGGCTAACGCTGTAGTTACCATACTGAATAAGTTAAAAAAATGTCTAATGTCTTCTAATGTCTACAATTTAAAAAAATTCCTTCAGTTTTTCTGCATTTAGTATGGTGTTCGTTATAGTTTTTTGTATATAAAATTCATTTTGTTGAGGCAAAATCCTTTGATGCCTGTGTTATTTAGAGATTTTTAGGGAGAGCCAATCTTGCAGGGCCACCTGGTCTATGGGGCCTTTCCATGTTTCAGGAAGGGAAGATTTTCGTCATGTATAGGCATGAATTTCTTCGTCATGTATAGGCATAATCTGCATTATACTCACTAGTTTGTGTAACCTGAATCGTCTAGCATTTCTTGCATAAAACCAGCTCCACCACTGTGTGTGATGTTTTAATGTGATATTGATTGGTTTACACTTACATATTAGAAATGTTATCACCAAAGTTATCGATTATATTTGACTTTTGCCACCTGGTTTGGGAATCTTAGTGATACTGGTATTGTAAAAATAGTTAATAGGCATTTCTTTCCTTTCTGCTTTATGAACTACTCTAAGCAGCATGAAATCTTTAAAGATCTTTAATTTTTCAATGAGTCAGTCTTCTTTTGGGCTTTCCTGTTTATGGAGACTCTTCATTATTTCTTTAATCTCAGTGATTTTGATCAATATATTTCAGTTTTTTATCATATGGGTTCAAATCCTGTATGATTTATCCAACTATAAATTGACTCTATAAATTTTCTAACTTATTGATATATAAACTTTCAAAATAGCATCTACTAGTCCTATGGATTTCAGTGGTACCTTTTTAGTATTTCCTTTTCTTTCTAATTTGATTAATTAAAATCTTAACCCTCTTTTTTTGTTAGTTTGGATAATAATTTATTATTCTATTCTTTATAAGGAAGAAACTATATATTGTATTGAAGGTTTTTGTTGTTCTTTTATTTTCTACTTCAGTAATTTATCTTTGATGTTTATTTTTTTTTCCTTCTAATGCTTTTTGGTTTTACTTATTCTTGTATCATTGGATTTGGTTTTGTAGCAATTAATTAAACTCTGTACAGAAGCCTCCTTATTTTAACTATGTAGAGAGTTTAAATTCATATTTCATGAGTCTACTTAAAGGATATAACTAGATCATAGCACAAAGGTTATCTATTCTCATTAGTATTGATTATATATTTATAGAAAGAAATAAGTCTGGTAAAGTATTAGTAAAGAAAAGATCTAGGAGCTGGGGAGATGGCTCAGTAGAATAAGTGCTTCTCTGGTAGGGGGTCTGAGTTCAAACCCCGGTTCCACCAAAAAAAAAAAAAAAGAACGAAAGAAAAGAAAAGACCTAAAGGAATTTTTTGATGGCAAAGACATAATAACTTGAAACAAAAGAGTAAGGTTCAATACAAGTGAAATAGATTCAAACTGTTATATAAATATTACACAATGTAAACACACGCCAGGCCAGCAGACTTGAACAAAAAACAAACAATACAGTGATCATCGGGCAAAATGGAAAAGGTTCACAAATTAAAACTGTATTGAGTCAGTGTGCTGGGGGATCACTGCTATGTTGCATTTTTTCATTTTTAATATTTTTATGATGTTATATTTTTAAAATGAATGCATAGAAGTTTCTAGAGGCAACTCTTCAGTCTTATTTTCTTAGAATATTCTTTCAGAACAATGTAGTCCATGATGTACTTTAAAGTATCTTATATATGTTTTGGTATTTCAGTGTTTTCTAATTTTGCAACAGCAAACATGATTTCATTTAACAAAGTTAATTGTTCACGTGAAAAACTGCATAGAGAAAGTGGCACACAATCTTATATTGTTAAATTTAAAAATTAATAAAAGATTACATTTAAAAATTTGTTTTTTTAAATAAATAAAATAAATTCCAATAAAAAATAAATTAAAAAAAATAAAAATCTGTTTTTTTAGGGCCGGTGGTATAGCTCAATGGACTAAGTGATTGCTTAGGTAAGCTCAGGGGCCAGGGTTCGATGCCTGGTACCACATGCTGAGCTGGTCCTGCCCTCAGGTATGCTGAGCTGGTGATGGAGTCCAGGCGAGGTGACCCACACCTGTGATTCCAGCACTAGGGAGGCAGAAATCAGGGGAATAGCTATGAGTCTGAGTTGCATAGTGAGACCCTGCACATGCACACAAAACCCCCCCAAAAAACAAAAAACAAAAAAACCTTAAAAATCTGATTTTTCTTGCTTTGAGCACCATACTACCCATCCATTATAAGTATAAGCAGTTCCTAAATCTTTCTCCAATTTCCTTTACCTCAAAACGAAATTAGGACTCCTTGATCAAATGGTTAATTTCAAGTATTAAGCAGGAAACACTTTATAGTGTAGGAAAAAAAGGACAGGAAACTAAACTTCATTGATCTTTCAGATGTAAGGTCATAATTAGTATTTTGTCTCTATATTTCTATTCTAGAACACACACACACACACACACACACACACACACACCCCTTTTGGGGAAACAAAATTATTTTTTAAAAAGTCTATAAATTCTATTAGCCACCTAAATTTTTCTGGCTTTCAGTACAAAATTATATAAGCCTGGCCAAGTTTCTTAGTCTGCTAAAATTCACTTTATTCATTTATGAAAGAGCAAGAGTATTAATATTTGTGATTGTGACTTATTTAGATTTATTATAAAAATGACAGCATAGGACCTACTTTGTAGAGGAGATAATAGTATTTACTGCTACTGTGGTCCTCTTTGCTGTTGTCACGTTTTTATAACTTCTCTACCAAGCATTATCATAGCTAAATGCTAAAATGTGTATTTCTTGAATGATTTTGTAAATTCTGTATTGTCAAAGGTAATAGTTGTTTTATTTTACATATCTCAGTATGCTGCAAAAATACATGTGTGTTTTGCTATTTTATATGTTGCACTGTCACAAAAATGTTTATGCCTTTGTATGATTTCCATGAATAAATTTGTTAGAATTAAAGACTTTAAAATTAGAGCTTCAAAGTAGAAACCAAGTTAAAAATATGACCATGTATAGCAATTTACCAACATTCTATCACACATGAACCTTAAATTCATAAACTATGTGATGATTTTTAGATTAAACAATTAACTTTTAACCTTACTCTGGCAGCCATAAAAGGAAGTAAGTGTAAACTGCAAAGAGAAAGCAAAGGGGTGGGGTTACAGCACCCTGCCTACTAAAGCTCATTATTCAGGCAAGCCTGGGAGGATTACTTTCTAAGTTTCTGAAGACAGAAGCATAGAAATTACACCATGGGAAGAAAGTTACTGTACCTTCTGATTGTGGGGGTCTGTGTATCCTATTATATTTACACACCTTTACCAGATAATTTTGAGGAGCCCTGGAGATTAATGTTGATCAACACATCAATGAAAATTTTTCTACATTTGGTAAGTCTGAAATTTATGAACTTTTCAGATGTTCAATGCAGTCATATACTCTGAAGAAATGTTCTGGGGCACTTGTCTTTTTGGTTGTTTAATTGATCTTCTTAAAATAAGTGCTATGGTTTTTGACTCTGTATGGCTTAAACATGACTTATTTGCTTGATGCTATATAATAGGTGGAATACATGTTTATAAATATGAAAAGATAAGCTAGAGGTCATTTGAGCAGAATTCACTGAAGTATTACTCTGTTTAGGTGTCATTCATGTCATGATAGTGGTTGTCTATTGAATTTTTACTCTTGGAGCTTCATTTATTAGTATTCAATTTCATGTATAAGTCAAAAAATTTTTTTATTCCTCCATCATGCATTAGTTATAGACTTTAATGCAATACATTCTGAGATCCAGTATATAGAAAATTACACATAAATAATATGATAAGGAAAAACTGCACTGTCAGAATGGTTGGCATTTGCCCTGGTTTAAAATAGGAAGGAAAAAAAAAACTATAAGCAAAACCAGAAAGAGACACCCTGCTTTTTCCTGAGAACTGGCTGCTTGTGCGGGCATTGCTGGTCCGGGGAAACAAGCAGAAGGTTGCCTCCCTGCTACCTAGAGTGTGTGCGCCATTGTTTCTTTTGTTATTTCATTACTTGATTTTTATAGTCCTCCTCTGAGATCTGAAACAAGATGGGTGCCATACATGATCCCTCTTCATTTTTCTTCTTTCAATTCCTCCAACTTCTGCAGATTCTCATTAGATAAACAGAGTCTGTCTTCATGAAATATATATTTTAACATTTGGGGTTGAATAATAAATTAGAATCAACTAAATGGATGATTTCAGATCATGGAAAATACCTTGGAAGGAGATAAGACAGGAAAAGCAAGTCTTGTGGGCAAGTAATGAGGGCAGGGCTACTGTTTTTATAATCAGTGAGACTCGCTGAGAATAGGAAACCTGCTTCGAGACCAAGGCATGAGAAGAAAACAACCAGCTACAGGAATGAAAGTCAACCCACAGGAACCCCTCCCCACCACACCCTGCCCCGGAACATGCAATACTGGGAGAAGAAGTGAGTCAGTATAGGTGGGGGTGGGAGCCTCAGAGGCCCTGTGAGAGCCTGACCACTCAAAACCCTCGATGAGGAGCTTGAGGGATGCAGGATTTGCGTATCACTCTGCCACACAAGAAAGAATGGGAAGCTGGCGTTAACACCTCCTCACCTGAGAGCTACAGTTGAGACTGCACTGCAGTCAGCCACTCCTCAGCACCTCACACTGCAACAAGTGACCTGACAGGACAGACACATGCCAGTAAAAGAGGAGCTCATGGGACTATGCAAGAAGAACCAGCTATGGAAAAGACAAGGAAAATCCCTGGGCTCTCTCTTCCTGAGGGCAGCACAGCAACTGGGAGACAGACACAAAGAAACAGAGGAAGGAGAGGGTGGGAGATACAGAGGGTGCCGGGTGAAGACTCTGCTCCCAACCCTCCCCAATCTGGAGGCCGAGGTCCCACCTGCACCCAGCACTACTCCTGTTGCATGCTTGGTAGGATTAGAACTTTGGGCTCTCTGTGGACACCAGAGTAATTTTATTTTTTATTGCATTTTTCCCCTTCCTTTTATTTTGGTTTTGTTTTTTGATTTTGTTTTAGTTTTTGACTTTTATTTTTGTTCTAATCTATCCATTTTTTTTTTCTCTTCCTTAAATTGTTGATCTTGATTTAATGATATCTTCATGTGACTGAACATTCACTCTAGTCTTTCTGGACAGTTTCAACAATCCATTGATTAGCTCTTCATTGTTTCACTTCTGCTCTCTCGTTTCTAGTTTCCCAAAACTTGGGAGATTATCCTTTTTTTCCCAGCCTTGCTTCTACTATATTTCTCTTCATTTAGCTCTTTCTCATCTACTACCTCTTTTAAATATCCTTACCATAGGATAAAACCACTCTATCAAGGCAAAATGGTTTGCATATAAGCTCCCAATTTATGATGAGTTCTATTACACAACTGCAGATGTTGCTTCTACGACTAAGGGTACCAAATTAACACACCACATTTGTAAGTTTCTAAGATATGCTTGATGGCACTGTTATTTCTATTGTGTTACTGCATCTAAACAGTCCTACCTGTTGTAATCGTTTTCTCTGTTGTAACAACCCTGGAAAGTTCTGAGATAATGAACATCTCCTAGTTCAGTACCACAGAACTGAGGACTGAGCCAAACAGATATCACCATCTCACCCATAACAAATTCAGAGGGTACAATCTTTGGATGAACACAAAATGCAATACTTTGGAATTAATCTCACAAAGGAAGTAAAAGATTTATATAGTGAAAATTTCAGTACTTTGAAAAAAGAGATTGAAGAGGATTTGAGAATGGAAAGATACTCCTTGTTTCTGGATAGGAAAAAGCAACATTGTGAAAATGGCCATACTTATAAAATTGCTATATAGATTCAATGCAATCCCAGTTAGAATACCATTAGTATACCTCACAGAGCTAGAGAAAACTTTCCTAAAATTCATTTGGAACTCAAAGAGACCCAGATCATCAAAAGCCAGCTGGGAACAAAGGAAAGGCAGGAGTTAACACACTGCTGATTTCTGTCGGTCTATTGAAAGAAGCAGCTCATGAATTTTTTCTTCTCATTTTAAATTTCTTATAGCATTTTTAAACCAAATTTGAGTGCTTATATCTAGTAACCTAAAAAAATAATCTGAAGACAACATTATGCAACATAACAACCATTGTTGAATTCCTATTATGTTCAATGAAATTCAATATCATTTCTAAGGTTATTTTTTACTATTTTTAATTCTTGCTAGCTAGCTATAAAGCCTCCTACTGGGGCTGGGGAAATAGCTCAGTGAATGAGTGCTTACCCAGCAAAGCACGAGGTGCTGAGTTTAATCCCTGGCACCACCAAAAAAAAAAAAAAAAAAACTTTCTGAGCTTCCAATAGGTCACAGATGAAACTAAAGAAATTAAAGTAGATATTAAATGCTATCTATAATGAAATGATAGTGATGATATAGCACACCAGAACTTATGGGACATGATGAGACCAGTCCTATAAGGAATAGTGGACATTTATAATGTTGAATTCTCATATCAGAGAAATAACCAGCTCAAATAAAAACCTGGTTTTGCAGCTTTGGCTTTTAGAGAAAATAAGCAAAAGTGAAGACCAAAACCTGTATGAGAGAGTAATTTATAAAGATCAGAAATTAATGCAATTGAGAGTAAGAAATAATACAAAGAGCAATTAATTGAAGAATCAGTTATTGAAAAGGTTATATAAAATTAATAAAGCCATATCCAACCTTATAGAAAAGGGAACAAAATATATAAATTAAGGCAATTAGGAATAAAAGGAACGAAATCACTATAGATCCTGTGCAAATTCAGAAGATCATCAATATCTACTTCAAGAAACTGTAATAAGATGAAAAATACAGAAGAAATGGAAAAATTCCTAGATACATATGAATTACCACAAGTTGAATCAAGAAGATATAAAAATTCTAAATCAGTATCAGTTGATGAAATTGAAAATGTGCTTAAAAACTTGTGAACAAAGAAAGCCCCATGTCCTGGAGGATTCACTGCTGAGTTCTAAAAAGTATTTAGAGATGCTCTAATGCCATTACTCAGCAAACTCTAATGAAATTGAAAAGGAAGCAGTACTCCCAGATCATTTCTGGAGGCAAGTATCACACAGATACCAAAACCAGGAAGGACCCAACCAAAAAAGGGAGCTACTGCTGACCTTGCTATTAAACATAGATGCAAGAATCCTCAATAAGATACTAGCAAACAGAATGTAGCAAGTCATTAAGAAGATTATACAGCATGACCAAATGAGCTGTATCTCAGGAAAGCAGTGATGGTTCAACACATGCAAATCAGTAAATGCAAGGCACCATATCCACAGAGCCAGAGGCAAAATTCACATGTGCATCTAAATAGATGCAGAAAGTATTTGACAAGTCCAACACCCACCCACAGACAATCGAAATGGATACTAATCTCAATATGATACAAGCCATCCATGAAAAACCAACAGCCAACATGATACTAAATGGTCAACAATTGAAAGTTTCCCCTGTAAAATGAATAACTAGACAAGGATATTCACTATAAATACTCCTATTTAACAGGGTTCTAGAAACATTAGCCAAATCAATTAGACAAGAAAAAGAAATAAATAGGAAAGTAAAAACTTAAATTAACATTATTTACAGATGACAGGATACTCTACATAGAAGAACCCTAAAACTCCCTCAAAAGACTTTCAGACTTAAAAAAGAAATTCACTCCTATAGCTGGCAAGAAGCACAATAATAAAAAATCACTAAGATTCCTGTACATAAAAAAAAATTCAGGGGAGACATTAGGGAAGAATATCTTCCACAAAATAGGTAGAACACTTAAAGACATTTGTGTAGGCACAGACTTCTACAAAACACAGATTACATGGGAAATACCACAAAGAATCAAAAGCTTGTCTCTTTTTTTTTTTTTTTTTTTTTTTTTGTTAAGCTTGTCTCTCATGGAAGAGCTTTTGAATTATAAGAGAAATAATCAATAAACAGACACTCCACAATGTGGATGAAAAATTTAGCCAGTTGCTCCTCAGCAAAAGGGCTCACATCTAGCATATATGAAAAACTAAAAGAAATCTGATTCCTTAAATTCAAAGACCAAATCCAAAAATGGGCACCTGGAAGGAATATACACTTGCCAGAGGAAGAAGTACAAATGGCAAATAAATACATGAAAAAAATGTTCAACATCACTTGTCATACAAAACATGCACATTAAAACAGCTCTGAGATTCTGTCTCACTCCAGAAAGAACGGCTTACATCAAGGAGTCAGCCAATAACAAATGCTGAGCAGGATGCGAGGAAAAGGGAGCACCTCTCCACTGTGGCTGGGAGTGTGGCCTGGTGCCACCACCGTGGAACTCATCGTGGACATTCTTCAGAAACTGAGGATTGAAGGTCTCATGTGACGTAGCTGTCTTCTTCTTGGTATCTTTCCAACAGAATTAAAAGCATCACACCACAGTGACATATGTGCCACTGTGTTTGTAATGGCACAGTTTGTAGGAGGTACATCTTGGAATCAACAGAAATACCCATCAATCAATGAATGGATCCAAAAGAAGTGACTTTTTATATAATGGAGTCTACTTGGCCATAAAGAAGAATAAACTTCAGACATTTATTGCTAAATGGATGTATCTTGAGACCATCCTCTTAAGTGAAATAAATCAGATACACAAGTATAAATATTGAATTATCTTTATGGTATGAGACACTGAAAGTATAAATAACCAAGTTCACAGTAGGTATTGGGAAATAGGAAGAAATGGTTCACAAAGAAAGGGGAGCTAGAGAAAGTGGAGGGGTTAAGGAACAAAAAAAAACAATGAGAAGAGAAGGCTAAGCTGGAAAGCCAGCTTTGCAAATAGGAGGGGAAGAGGAATTGAAGGGAGGGGAGGGGACTGGGGAAAAATAGAAGAGAAATTCACGTATATTACGTATAGATACAAATTCCCTGCAATGAATGTGATCAGTGTATATGCTTAAATTGTTTCAATAAACAATAAATGAAAGAACTACTCCCAGTACTAAGGAAATATTTTTCAGCAAGCACAGCAACAAGTACATAATTCTTAACTACAAGATACTGACAAGTTGAAGAAATTATATTACATAAATGTTTATGACTGATGAGATCATGCTACAATTTAGTTGAGAAGAGTAAAGCATCCTAGAATAGAGCACTTTTGTTTTTTTTTTTTGTTTGCGGTACTGGGGATCAAACTCAGCACTTTGCATTTGCCAGAGAGACACTTAAGCTGCTGAAGTATCTCCTTGGCCGAATAGAGCACTTTTGACCAGCGGTAGTAATTTTTAATTTTATTCTATGTGTGATATTACTCTATGAAAGAGGCAAGAAGTACTTTCCCTGTTTTCAGCTGGGGTTCTAGCTCAGCAACACAAGCGCCTGCCTGGCAAGTGCAACATCATGAGTTCAATTCTAAGTACAAACAAAAGTTTTATTTTTCTCATATTTCCTCAAATGTCACTATATTTATAAAGAATTCTTTAAGGTTTTTTTTTGAAACTTACTGTTAATTACACTTTGTTGTTCATTTTATCAGTTGTGTCAAGTTTTTGAGCTTTGATTCCCTGTCTTCTCAGCATTATTTTTCAACTTTTTTGATGATTATGAATATGCTGGCAGAGTTCATGAAGGATATACATTTTCAAATGTATTTTAATATAGTTTTTCACTCCCAAATGATTTCTGTTTGTATGCTACAATTTCCTTGATTTATCTGAGATTTTATCTGACCTGCTCAGATTCTCTCAATCACTGACAATCTAGTGAGATGTCTTACTGAAGACTTATGTGATGACCGACATGTACATTTGTGCCACGCATGAAGCATTATTATGCATTGCAATTATGCCATAAATGAATAATGTAGCTCCATATTTAAGCCAAATGCACTTAAAATATCATTTCCTAGCTGTGTATATTTGAACTAATTTTAGTTTTGAATTATTCTGGGTTTATTTTCTTCTCTCAAATGGGTGTGATACTATTTTGTGTTTATAGGCAGTTAAGGTAGTATGATTGAAATGAGTTCTCATAAACTATCTGGACCATAATCTTTTCCAAGGCAGATGCACAAGGCTCGAGGAGAGCAGGCTGCCCTTTCTTTTTCTCAGCCATTTTTTTCTTCTCAATCATGCCTGTCCATAGGCATCAGGGTAATTTATAAAGTATTTTATTTTTAGAATGTTTTATTGTTGAATGTTCACTAAATATTATCAGTATTATATTCCATGTGAGGAACTGATGCATGTGTATATCACGTCTTAATTTTACTTCCCTTTCCCATTGAGGTTCTCCATTCTTCTACCATTACCTAGTCCTCTTCACTACTACGTGAAATTTAAACCAGTTCCTCCCACCATCAACAAGGGCCCCTCATCTCCAGGATATACTAGTAGATCTTCCTGGAACTGATTTTCTTTTTCCTTTTTTTTTATTCCATTACATTCTTAAGAGCTTTTCGTCAAGGGTCAAAGTACAATGACCTTGGGCTGGGTAGATGGCTCAGTAGAATTAGCACTTCCCTGGCAAGTGCAAGGGCTTGTGTTCAGTCACCACCTCCAGAAAAAAAAAATAATAATACAATGACCTGGGACAAAAGCCCCAGTCCCAAGCTCTCTATCTCAGCACTTACTTCATTTTTGCTACAGTATAGTAACCTGCCTTTCACCCATAACTATGAAGATCTTGGAAAGTATATTTATCTTGTGCATATATGCAACCCAAAAGCTAAGCAAAGAATCTGAAATATTTTGTGGAATAGGACTTAATAATGGTTTTTCCTCTTTCTAACAACTACTGTAGGCATAAGTAGTTAATTTGCCTTTGTTCTCAAAGGATCAAGGGGATTGACCAGATAAGAATTTTTTTATTTCATTTGAACTAGTTAAGTATCAAATACTTATACTGTCATAAATGTCTTTGAATTCAGAATTTGAATTCTAAGGCCATTTGTTAATTTTGTTTTTAGGCTTCATTTGTTGAGTTCCTGGGACTGTACCATGTTATGGATTCATTCACACTAATTATGGCTTTTGTTGAAGTCCCACCAACTTCAGATGAAAATGTCACTGTGACTGAGACCAAATTTGACAATGTTCCTGTCCGTGTATATGTGCCCAAGAGGAAGCTGGATGCACAGAGAAGGGCTGTGTTTTACATCCATGGTGGGGGCTGGTGTATTGGAAGTCCGGGTAGGTTAAATTTCTGAATGACATCTGATCCTGGAGTAGTCTGTCAATGGTATACTGAAGCTGTATGCTGTGCTCCTGAGCAAGGTTACTGCACTGTTCTTGTCCTGTCTTGCTTTGATCTCTGGCAGGCTTTATTATTCCTTGAACCTTCAAATCACCATTTCTCATCCATATGACTTTCTTCATTAATCCAGGTAATGCTAAGAAAACACCAGTCCTCCTATTATTGAATTAAGTCTTCCTATTATATAATTTCTTAATTATACTTTAAGAAAGTATAAACACTATCTCAATCATCTGTATTTGGTTTTGTAGGTTTCAGAAACATGTTGGTTAACTTACTTGTATACTAACTGTGTGCCTACATTTCTTCCAGGAATGTTGTAGGATATTGGAACAGGCAAAATTCTCCTTGGGCCTTAAATTCTAATTAAGACAAACTCTAAACAATCGGTAAATTCCTAAGTAATACAATGTAGCATAATATGACAAATATAGATAATAATAGGTTAAAGTAATCAAGATTGGGTACAAACATTGCTAGTCCCTACACATACAGAATTGTTTTCAAAAGAAGAGTACGTCCAGAAGTGGAAAATTGGGAAAAAACCTTTGGGCTCAGTCATATAACTAGGAATTGTGCCTTCACTGACTCTAGTTGTAGAGTCAACCTACAGAGCGTACTCGCAGATTTTAGCTGCAAAGTTGCAAGTACAAGCTTGATATTCAGCAATTTACCTTCAATTAGTGAAATGTAAAAAAATTGAGGGAAGGGAAGAGAGGAAGCATAAGTGAGTGTAGAGAAGCAATGTCCCAGGCTTAAAATTAATTGAAAAGTGACAAATGATATGAAAAATTCAGAGAACAAAGAAGTGTCTCAGTTACTCTTCTCTCATTGCTGGGACAAATACCCAGCACTCAAAATGAGGACAAGAAAGACGAATTATTTACCTCACAGTTACTGGAGGCTTCAGTCCTTACTCAGCTGGCTCCAAGGCAGAGCAGCACCTGGCAGAGAACAAACTTTCATGGATGGCAAAGAGCAAGAGAGCCAAGGGAGGAGTAGCAGCAGCTCAAGCAGCTAGCTTTTCTTCCCTTCTTACAATGATATTCAAATTACCTGCCTCAGGGCGGGTGCAGCATCCATACCCACAATAATCATTCACAAACTCCAGAAGATGCCCCCTGACTGCATGAGCTTTGGGGGAAAACTAAAATCCTAACAGGAATCTCGGGAGAAAAAGACAGAAGAAATGATTGTCCTGTTTCTAATAGAATGACAGGGAAAGTGAGGACAGGTTCTGGGGGAACACAGACAAGTAAATTTTGGGTAGAAGAATACAGAATGAGCAAAGCATTAAAAATTGTTCAAATGAAAAAAGGTCATAAAATGAAAAGAAAGTCCAAGGTGAGTGTGTCCAAAAGAGAGGTTAGTGAGAAGTAGTGAATGGTGAAAAGATGCTGAGGAAATGGGACAGAAGTGCCCATCTTGGCAGTCAAATATTTTATTGTCATAAAGCTGTGAACAAATCTGATGGCATTCTAACCAGCAGAAAGTAAGATAAAGAGTCTAGAAGAGTGACTTTTGAACTTAAACTCTTATTTGTAAAAGGTATAAGTAAGAAAATGATAGACTAAAATGAGAATTAAGCAAGAGAATTTGCTTGATTTTCATGTAAAAGAGATATAAAAAGTGAGGACGGGGGGGCTGGAGAGATGGCTCAGTGGTCTAAAGCACCTACTTAGAACAAGCTTGGCAAAGCATCAGGGACCGCGGTTCAATCCCCCAGCACCACATGC